TCCCTACTGTGTGGCAGCTTTTGTGGAAGAGAAGTAGGTGGGCTCAAGGCACTCTTTTGTGTTTAAGATAATTTAGAGAAAGAAGATAATGACAAGCTGTGAATCTTGCAAAGCATGACCTTGCTTGCCACAATAGTGCAAATACAGCAGACTCCTCAGATGTCTGGAAGATAGAACAGAAAACAAACATTTCAAGTCATCAAAGTTGTTAAACTGTTCCCAGGGGACTGTTCAGCCAAACCTGGACTTCAGCACTAAAAGCATTTTCGGCTTATGTTAATCTTGCTCAAGCAGAGGGAGCCTAGGCATTAGCAAATGTTACTGGCCTCGAGGGTTTTGATTATCCTGGATTTTCTACTGGTCACTGGGACAGTAACATGAAGGAGGCTTAGTGGCAGTGAGGAGAGGTGTTGGTTTGTAGTTTTATTTAAAAGCATTAGTGCTTTTAAATGTTAACAGTCAGACATCTCAGGGATGCCTGGTTTTGACCATCCCTCTGTATTTTAGGCATATAAACCTTAGGAGTGCAATTAGAGGAGGGGAAAAAATAGGTCCACATTGCTAATTTCCGTAGAGGACAAAGTACATATGAAAATGGTTATTTTTGATAAATACCCCGTACAGGTAAGTTAAGGAAATAACAAAAAAGGTTTTTTTTCCTCAGCTTAGCTCCTTGCAGTGTAGCTGTTGTACTTGGTTTCTGTCTTCATAGCAGCTTAGGTAGAAGAAAATACTTTCACTTTCCTGTGTTACTGGTACAGCCCCATTATGTTTTTACTTTGTATTAGGTAGTGTTACTGTGAAGCTGTATGATTCTGAAGGCAATTTCCTATCTTGCTTAATAAGAAGTTCCAGAGTACTGTGTCCAGTTTTGGGTTCCCATTGCAAAGAAGATACAGATCATAGAATCGTAAATCGATTAGGTTGGGAAAGACTTTTAAGATCATCAAGTCCAACTGCAAACCTAACACTGCCAAGGCCACCACTAAACCATGTCCCTAAGCACCACATCTACACATCTGAAGCACCACATCTACACATGATGCAGCGGGGTGTGTTCTGTGAAGGTGGTGTGTGGGAGCAGCAATGATAAGTGAGGAGGACCTGAGAGAACACGGCTTGTTTGGTGTGGGGAAGGTAGAGAGAAGGGATCTCGTTGCTGTCTTCAGGCACTGGGGGAGGAGGGAGGCTGTTCAGAGAGGCCAGAGCAATTCTTGGAGCTGTGCGGTGATAGCATGAGATGCAATGGGACAAGGCAAATTCTGCTTAGATACCAGGAAAATGAAAGGGAAGAACCAATTGACATCATGCAAGTATCTCTGTGGCTGGAGGTATTCCTTGCGTAATGTGCTGAGCAGCTGTCTTTAAGCTGACCCTGACCTGAGCTGGTGATTGGACCTGGTACCTCAACAAGTTCCTTTGAATCTGTATTACTCTGTGATTTTATTCAACTAAGCCTGTCCCAGGTAGGCTATGCTGGTACGGCTTCAGTATAGACAGGCCCTGATGCAGGTGACTTCTGTTTATTTGAACAGTATGTGGTTATACATAAAGGATATTTAACATGCCAGCTGGTAAAGACCAAACAGTAAAGTGTGGCAACAAGTCTGGTGAAAATGGCTCTGTCTTAGCCACATGGAGATTTAGCTTTTACACTTATTTATGAAGGATACTGTTTTATAAGGTAGGGTATAAAGCAAGACTTTTGTTGTGTTGGCCTGTGGTAACTGTGTACATGTAACTCCTGTGCATCTGGTATAGATGATGTATTAATTTAAATGTCCAATGGTTAAAAAGCAAATAATTGGTTATTGATTCTGGACTTCTCATTATATTTTTAGATTTTGAAGAATTTTACATCTGTTCATCTCTCTTATGTGGAATTGAAGCAAATGGGCCAGCAGCAGATTGGAAGTTACCCTGTTCACTTTCACCTTTGTGGGGATGTGGATGAAAAAGGAGGTTATAGTTTTAAGACTTACCTGGAAGGTCTTTCCATTCATCACTGTTTTTCCAGATGTGTGACTGTTCATGCAACTAATGGCTTGCTGGTAGGTGCAAGAAGAGTAATACATACTATGTTGAAATAAATGTTATAAAGAGCATTTAGAGCAAAAATAGTCCCATCCCTTCTTCAACTTTAATGCTCAGCAGTGGGTTTTTGCAATGAATAAATGAGCAAGTGCAAACAGTAACTTATTTTTAACAGATCTTACCGTTCTGTTTTTTCAGATTTTTCCAGGCAGCTAAGCTCTCCAGACATAGTAGTGTGTTTGTAAGGGATAAATAAAACTGTATGCTTGAATCATCTGAACTGCTGATACTGAAGCTTCACTCTGCAGCTGTGCCAAGATAGTAAAACTGAATGGTACTTGTCAAATAAATCTCGGTAAATGCTATTGCTACTGACATAATGAACTTGTATTTCGGCAGATAAAGGACACCATTGGCTATGACACACTGGGTCACTGTTTCTTCACAGAAGATGGCATTGAGCAGAGGAATACTTTGTTTCACAACCTTGGGCTAGTCACGAAACCAGGCACTCTTCTTCCTACAGATAGAAACAGCAGCATGTGTATTGGTATTAGGGATAAAGTGTATGGGAGTTATGTCCCAGTGCCAGCCACAGACTGCATGTGAGTATTTCATGGTTGAAAAAGTAAACCAGCTGCAGCAGTTAAACTGATGATGATCTCTTGAAAATATACAGATGGGAGCACTTTTATGTATGATTTAATCAATGCAGACACCTTAAATGTAGTTCACATAGTAGTGGTATTAAACAAAAAATTCGCATTCAGTCTTTTATTAAAGAGGAAAAAATGAGTTGTTTTATAGGAAGATTGTTGTTTTTTGTGATGCTTGTTCAATAGACATTTAAGATCACATCTTTACTTCTGTGTAAAGGCATGCACATTCTTAAGTTGTTACCACTAGTTTTTCTGCACACTACTAATCTCTTGTCGAAGCTTATTAAAACAGTCTATCATTGCACACAGTATCTGAACAACATTAAATAAAATATTGTGCATTGAACTAAACAAAGAAGCATTTCTAACTTCTAACTAAATGGGGGGGATGTGTGTGATTTTTATTTCATATGTGAAGTAGTGACTTCAGACATCAGGTTAGCTTTTTTTAATGTGCTTGTTATGAGGGGAAGATATTTCTGTAGGAGCTAGAGCTTTTCCATAATAACCTCTTTCTGAATAATATTGCAGGGCAGTTTCGACATTCTGGATTTCTCATCCCAACAATCATCTTATAAATAATGCAGCAGCAGGTTCACAGGTGAGGTGCATGGATGTAATTCAACAGAAACTACTTGTGCCACTGGTGTTTGTAAAATCTGTAACATTTACACTGACAAAAATGCTTACATTTTTCTTTTTTATATATGAACATTTTTTTTATGTTTGGCAGCATATTGGCATTACAAGTGCAGGGTTTGTCTAGGTGTGCATTAAAGAGATGCCAAAAATCTTTGTTCTGGCTGGAACAGAGGAGGTCTCTTCCTCTTTATAGTTAATAGACCTGACAACAGTATCAATGTGTGTGTGTGTGTGTAGAAATAAATCCTTTTATTTCCAAAGAACTAAAGTGCATTTCATAGTAAGGCTTCTGTATTTTCTGTGCGTTGTCATGAATTTACTGCGTGACTGTTCTGCAAGATTTGTCTTCATAGCTGTAGTCATTGGAATGAAAAATTACTATCAAAAATGTTCATTGTGTAAGAAACAGCTAAAACACTTTTTTGTCAGTCATTAGTCATTTATTTCCCATCAGTGACTGCTGATATGTTTTTACTTGTGAACCTTCTATTAGTGCAAATCTCTTGTCACAGCTGCTTACGAAGTAAAACTGAACTACTCAGTGCATGTTGTGGAGGAGGGTACCTTCTGCATTGGGTGAGAGGCTGAGATGTGAGTGGATTTTTCTGAAGACATCAGTGGGAATGGAAAAGAGAAAGATTTTTGGTTTTGTTGTTGCAAAGGCTCCAGTGCTGGAAGGAGAATATGAGTGTGTGTCAGTGTATTCTTAGGGACAGAATACATAATAAACTGTTAATAATAGAAAAGGATTAAAAATATTTAAATGAGTTCAAATATCTAGAGTATTAAAAGAATTTTGAAAATTTTGTTCTGCTTTTTGTATGGTCTGGATTTTTTTGGACAAACTTTTCTAGTTGACTGTCTACCACTAGGGCGCACGTATCAAATCAAACCAATACTTTTCTTCCCAATGCAATGTCTTTCCATTTTGCCTGCTGTATGTAATATTCCTTTACCTTGTTTTACCATTGCAGGCTGAGTTAAAGGAAACGCCTTCCTTGATCTGATGCTTAACACCTGCCAGGTCTTTTTCTGCCTCTCTGATGTATCCTAGTAAATGTCACTTCCTTGTGTTACCAGAATGTGCGTGGTCAGAGCAAGCATTTGTGTATGTTACAAAGTTTTGCTGCTCTGATATACTTCCCTTGCAGGGATGTAAATGCATTAGTATAAAGGGTCCACAGCTTATTATGTTTCAGAAGGAGAATACTTCAACTGTGTTGATAACTGACTCTGCACGGTAGACCTTTTGCTGATATAAACTGTAACAATTCACAAGCAAATAAAATAATTCCAGCTCCTTCGTTACACAATGGGGCCTGTTGTAAGGGTGTATCAGCAATAGATGTTTCTTTTGTTTGAGCTGTATATGACAGAGGGAGGAGGAAAAAAACCTTTTCCATTTTTCTGAATGCTTGCAAGTGCCTAAGGAACTTTTAAGTTTATTAAACTTTTTTCCAAGCATCAGGATGTGTTTTGGATAAAAATTACTTGAGTCTGCCAAGCACAGAGCTGTATTTAATTATATGTGAAGTAAGATTTTGGGGTTTTTATTAATGGAACATCCACATTTGCCTTGGAATTGTTAATCACCAGAAATGTCAAAGTGTGTCATCATTACGGATGGGAATATGTTACTGAGAAGTAGAATTTCCAGGACTGTTTGGAAAATGACTATATTCACGGAGTGAAACGCATCAAATCTTTTAAGCCAGAATGAATTGGCTTTATCCATATTTCTTGAACAGGAGGATGATGACTATTTTTCATGAGATGGAGCAATGAGTAGGCAGTGCTTCTTCAGCTACTGTTTAACCCTTCAGTGTGCCTTATGCAATGATTTCTTTATTTTATAAGGGCGCAGAATATGTGGTCAGGCAAAATTTTTCGTGTTTGTAGGTACCTGCTATGCAGCTGCTGTCGCAATACCACCTCTTGTGAAGCCAGATGTGGTTGAAAGTGGAACTTTTACAGGTCTCATTTAGCAGATAAATCCAGCTTCTTTAAGATCAGGGATGTTGAAGTGGAGAAAATGAACAGATGCTGAAATTATTACTGCATGCTATTGGCACAGTGTTCTGAACTGGCCAGACTTCTTGATGTGCTTTTTTTCCTTTCTTCTGAAAACTCTTGTGGGCTTTTTGGCTGTGTCATTAAATTCTAATGTGAGCAGAGATGAACAAACCTTAGTCAGACTAACAGTAAGGAGGATAAGAGGGGTTTTGAGTATTTGACTGTAAATGGTCTGATTTACTACTAAACAAAGGAAAATCAAGTGTGTGATGAAATATAACTGAAATGTAAAAATTACTTTACCTCTGACGCTTTTCTGATTTGAAATATTAGAGGATCTTAAATGTGTGGTATTACATAACTTCACTGAGAAACAAAACACTTTTAGTGCATATTATTCACTAGAATAGAGCCTTATTTGCAAACTTCTACTTTCTCACTGGGCAGTTGTTTGGAGACTTTATTTTGAAAAATACATTCCATTGTGCACAGTTGGTTTGGGCTGTGTTCTTACGTATTTACTTAAAATATCCAAGTTCAACTTGACATACACTTATTTTGTAATTAGATAATGCTATCAGTGCTCATGTATCAGACTCACTTATAAGTAATGTTAAGTAATGTCATTCTGTGCTTACTTGCAGGATGCTGGAATATGGTACTTGTTCCACAGGGTTGCTACAGGAGATTCTCATAGTTTAGCCATTGAAACCAAGTCAGAGCTTACACCCCTAGGAATCTTCTACAACAACAGGGTTCATTCTAATTTTAAGGTAATGTATTATCTCATTAAAATTTTTTGAAGTTCTTTATTTGTAATTGTTCTATATTACGACTTGTCTGTTTACATTTTAAGCTGGTTAGGTGATGGATTCATGCTGTGTTTGAACTGCATGATTCTATGTAGGTGTTGTAGAATGGTGTATAATCAGCACGTGTATAGTTTCTTGCCATGTTTCAAGTATTGATGATGTTTAATATTGCAGTAAGGCACAAACAACTAAAATCAATTAATGTTTCTAACGAAATACATTTTCTCAGAAATAGCATTCAGATGCTACTCTCTTATTGATGGCATTGTTTTCTACTCTGAAGAAAGCTGACCCTTGAAGCCTCAAAATTTATTACAGTTGTGATTCATCTAATAGATTCCTGGAATAGCTGTGACTTGTTTTCCTGAGTCTCTAATGTACAATAACTCAAGTGTTTGCACGTGGTGGCACGGTCTTTGATGAGAGATTAAGGTTCCAGGTTGCCTTCAGAAGCCCAGCCACTGGCAACAGTTTTTTGTTAGAGGGTTCTCAGCCTAGATACAGGCATTCAGTATTGTTTTATTAATGTGACTTTAGTATCTTTTCCACATTCAGCTAAGCAAAGTCCTTTAATTATTTCATTTGGAATCGAACTGCTGTGTGTGACTGTATGTAAATTTAATGACATTTACAAAGCCACCTAACTTAAACATTTATTTGTGTTAGAAGTGTACCTAATAAAGTTCAGGATCTCTACTGGACTTTTTTTTACCAAGTGAAACTGATTTTACTTGACAGTTGGGTGTCTGGTATATGAAGAAATGATGCACTGTTTTATAGAAGTTGTGTTAATGGTGTGTTTGGGACTGTAGGGCATTTGTTCAGATTGGAATTAAGACATACTGAATGCAAAAGTGAATTGTAGAGAAAAAAAGTGTTTCAGCTGTATGGCTCATATTATCTTTAAACAAGGGTAGCAGTTTGTGTGCTAAAATTCCATGTTAAAAGAGCAAAGTCCACTAGCAGGTCTGGGGATCTACTTGTGTAGGAGCACTGAATTGTAATCATAATTTGAATCAGAGGTGAAAGTAGCTGCAGGTATTTCTGTATGTAATTCAAGTTAAATAACACAAATGCTTCTTTCTGCTTCTATTTTCTCAAGTAAACAATTTCATACTGTATTATTGAGTTTTAAGTTGATGATTGCTTAGACCAAAATGAACTTCAGTCATGAAGGTAGTTTAGTTTTAAAGTGAAATACAAAGCATTTTTCACAGTGGTACGTTGGGTTTTTTTTTTCCATTTGTGAGAATATTTTGAATTTACGAAAAGATTAGCTTCCAGATTTTCCAGAACAGCGTCTGGAAATAAGTGTGAAACCTCAAATAGTTAGATGTTGTGAAAGAAATCTGAAATGAACTTTAATAATTTTCTGTTACTTTTTATTATCCCAACCACTTCTTTGCCCAAATTAGCATAGACAGATGCTGTTTTTCCCTTGTACAATATGTCGATTAAGGCCAAGCTGAAAGACCTAAGACTTTCTAATACATGTATTGAATGCAATGTAAAGTTTAAATTTTAGAAATGTAGTGTTTGCTGTATCTTTAGTTTTGTATAGTATGAATTTTCTCTCTGTTTCAGGCTGGTTTGTTCATTGATAAGGGTGTTAAAACAACTAATGCTAGCATTGATGATCCCAGAGAATATCTTTGTTTGGACAACAATGCAAGGTAAAGGATATTGTCTTTCAAGTGAGTGAAAAATGGCAAAGTTCTGAGATTGCTCTGACATTCACGTGAGGAAAAACATTTCTAAACCAGTGTAATTATTTATAAATAATAACTGAACAATAAGTTCACATATATATCCTTTTCCTTCATTTGTTCTTCTCTTTTGGGAACAACAGAGCATGGTGTGCCTTACAGGAGTTGGCTATTTCTTTTGAGCCCTTGCTCAGGGTAGTTTTCAGCCTCCTAGAAGACATAATTTTAAACAGGCTGTACTGTCACGCTTACAATATTTTCTGGAATTGCTGCTAAAAGTAAAGTCTTACTTTTAAAATCCACTCTTCTGATTTATGAGTTGGTTTTAAATAATTGTTATAAAATGGCTTAATAGAGCCAAGTAATACATCCACTTCCCTTTCCTACTGCTGAATGCTTCCTGCTGCACCTTCTAGACTTGGAGATCATAGCTCAGCGGTACAGTTTTACTGATGGCTATTTGCAGAGATAGTACAATCAACCATATTTTCTTTAGTTTACAAAGTGAGAGAAAATAATGGAGAGTCTAGGAGAATTCCAGGTTATACTGTGCCTGGTTAGTCTTTTCCTGAACTTCAAATAAAATAGCCTGGGATACTGGTCAAATGACAATATTTGATAACCATATCCATCGATGTTTTATTGTAACAACTAAGCATTAGCACTGAAAATACAGTTCATAAGATTATTTCTGATTGACTTGTGTTTAGGATGAGGATAGTTAAGTGATAGTTGCAGATATAGAGAGAAAAGTTCCCAATTTTGGTGGTACTTGATACTTCATGATTTGGACTCGCTGGTTCAAAGTTTTGACAGAAAACCCATATAACCCTTCTGGATTACCTCAGTCATAACAGGTAGTCAAGAGGAACATATGAGGGGCAAAATGCCCTGTGAGAACCTGGATGGTGTTGACAGGGCATCAACAGAGGATGTGAGAAACTCGGTCCATGAGATGGCATTCATGTTTCACAGCAGCCAAAGAAGTATGAGGCCACTAATCATTGTACATGGAACCAAACTGGAGGGTTTTAAACGTTAATTGAGGAGCCTGAGACTGTCAAAAACATTCACCCGCTCTCCCCTTCCTCCCCTGGTGGGCACAGGGCAGATGCAAATTAGAGTATAAGGTGATTGGGTCAAGGGGTGTATGTATCTTTACCTGCTCAAAATGTATTTTTAAAATATTTTTTTAATAATAATATTTTGTTAATTTTCTCTGGGATCTTGGGGATAATCAAGTGAAAGATTCCACCAGTCTTTAATCAGGTTGTTTCTTCCTGTTGTCTAAAATAGATTCCAGCCATAGCTTACCATATGAGACCATGTTAGTAGCAATGCAGAGTGTCTGGGTTGGTATAGAAAAATCTCAGGTGTGCTCAGAGAAGGAGCACTCCTCAACATCAGAAGAGTTTGAAGGATTTGAAGGAGCAGTTACACAAGCCTCCAACCTTTTTTGTGTAGTGTGTGTCAGCCCTGTGTATCCTTCGAAGCAGCTTTAATTCCCTCTATCAAACTTACACATTAATGCTGCAATGCAAGTGGGAAGAGACTGCTTTGGGGAGGGCAAGAAGAAAAAGCAGGGCATAAAAGGAGGTGAGGTTTAGCTGAAGAAACTCAGGGAGATTGAGCAAAAGCCGTGAGAGTTACTGGAAAAGAGTTTTATGTTCCTGCTTCGTTATACCCTGAAGACACTTTCCCAGAAATAGAGAGCTAGAAATGCACCTGGTTTTGGCCTCTGTCATTCCAAACAGGAAGCAGAGTTGATTTTGCCCATCAGATGAGCATGAGTGTTTATCTTTCAGGCTCTCTCAGCTTGACATATGTCATATGTAAAACAAACAGTATTCTTACGTTGAGTTTTTGGGGGGTTTTATTTGTCCCAGGTTTCGACCTCATCAAGATGCAGACCCTGAAAAGCCGCGAGTTGCTGCCCTGATTGACAGATTAATCTCTTTCAAAAACAATGATCATGGTGCCTGGGTCAGGGGAGGGGATATCCTCATTCAAAACTCTGGGTAGGTATCCAGAAGCAAACAGATGCAAGTTGTTAAGAAGTTTCCCCTGAAGCTTTGTTTATGAAAGTGCATTACAACGCAGTTATAGGAGAAGATTGATGTGTAACTCAAGGAACTTCTCAATATCTTGAACCACTTTCACACCTTCTTGCTATTTTAAATAAAGCAAATTTATATATAATTAGATGAGAACCTGCCTTAAATGGCAAAAAGAAAGTATGTAATAAAAAGTAGTCTAAAAGTTGGTAAAGACAGTGAATTTACACTGAGTTATCTGTGCTTCCCTGAAGCTGTTATGTTGCTTTTTAAAATATATAGAAAATGACTTGATTTTTTTTAACAGCAACAATTTTATAAGAATTATTAAACCACCAGTGTGTGGTGGTTCTAAATTCCATTAATAGAAAAAATCAGGCTTTCTTCATTGCATAGCAGGATATGTTCTTACCATAGCTTTATTATAGGATAATCTAGAAAACATGACTGAAGTTTTGAACTTTCTTTTAGGTTTGCAGACAATGGAATAGGTTTGACATTTGCTAGGTGAGTACTTTGTTCATCACTTCTGGTTTTTATTGCCTAGAAGCTTAGAAAATACTCATCCATCTACTAAAATTAATAGGTATACTTTCATAAGGCTATAATTTCATTTTTGGGCCTGGTTCTATTTCCAGTGGTGCAGATGATGTTGTAAAGGCTGTACACTAACAGAGCTGCCAAAGGTTGCGCTTTAATACAACCACAATTTGCTGTCTCTTCAGCAGAAGGGCTGTGTTTATCCAGTTATTTTTGGTATTGTATGATTCCTTAGGCAGTTTTCATTTTCCTCCTGAACAGTTAAAAGTGAGTAATGGAAGGGAAAAGGGCATGAGCATTTAGAGGGGGACAGAGCCTCTTTCTAATCCAAAAAAGAATCAAGTAACTTAAGTAGTAAGCCAAAATTGCGGCTGTTTAGGTTATGATAAACTGGTTCTAGGATTGCAAAAGTGGGCTGTTAAAGAAAGAGTGCTGCACTACAAAGGGAGGTAGAAAATTTAATGCTCAGCTCTCTGCTGGTGTTTCAAACAGCCTGTAGTACCATTAATTATTAAATTTATTGTTCTGTGTATTGTGAATGAAGTCTAGACTGCTCTGCTTTAGGAGGACTGTTACAGAAGTAAAAGCAGGACTATGCCTCGGTGTGTTCAATTGCTGGAGAGTCTTGGCTAAAAGCTTATTTCTGACCTTGCTTTGATAGTGATGGGAGCTTCCCAAATGATGAAGGTGCCAGCCAGGAGGTATCTGAGTCACTGTTCATAGGTGAGAGCAAGAATTATGGGTTTCCAGGGGGCCAAAATAAATATGCAGGAACTGGAGGAATAGACAACAAGACGCGCACTCTGCCTAGAAATCGGTAAGTATGTTATGAGTGAAGTTAAGAGTGTTATTTGCAAAGTTAGTTTTCATCTGATGCCAACAAAGATTGCTTTTCTGTAGTGATTTAAGTTATCCTTCTTTAATGAAACTTTAGTCTTAAACAACATTCTATGATTCTATGATTAACATTTGGGCCTGGAAGAAAGAAAGAAAAAGCTTTTTAGTAAAAGGATTTCAAGGGTCAATTTAGGACTGGAGACTACAGTCTGTCTGTGACAAATCCCAATCTCTGACCATTATCTCTTTCTTTTCATGAATCATAGAATGGTTTGGGTTAGAAGGGACCTCAAAGATCATCTAGTTCTAACCCCCCCTGCCATGGGCAGGGACACCCTCCACTAGACCAGGTTGCCCAAAGCCCCATCCAACCTGGCCTTGAACACTTCTAGGGATGGGGCATCCACAACCTCTTTGGGCAACCTGTTCCAGTGCCTCACCACCCTCACAGTAAAGAATTTCTTTCCAACATCTACTCTAAATCGACCCTCCTTCAGCTTAAACCCATTACCCCTTGTCCTGTCACTACACTCCCTGATAAACAGTCCCTCACCAGCTTTCCTGTAGGCCCCTTCAGATACTGGAAGGCTGCAATTAGATCTCCCTGGAGCCACCTTTTCTCCAGGCTGAACAAGCCCAACTCTCTCAGCCTGTCCTCATAGTAGAGGTGCTCCATCCCTCTGATCAGCTTTGTGGCCCTCCTCTGGACTCGCTCCAACAGCTCTGTCTCTTTCTTGTACTGGGGCCCCCAGAGCTGGACGCAGTACTCCAGGTGGGGCCTCACAAGAGCGGAGTAGAGGGGCAGGATCACCACCCTTGACCTGCTGGTCTCTCTGACTTGCTGTGATGCTTGTTTAACATAGTGCCAACTCCTACTCTTGCCACAGAATAGGAAAGAAGGGTGAGGTAGGACTAGTTTGCCTTGGGTTTTTTGCTGCTTAGCTATTTAGAGGGAAGAAGTTAATGTGGTGGTGATACGAGGTATTCAGTCTAGTTGAGCAGAATCACAGAGCAATTGAGGTTGGAGAGAACCTCTGGAGATCATCTTGTCCAACTCCCCTTCTCAAGGAGGGCCACCTAGAACTGGTTGTCCAGGACCACGTTCAGGTAGCATTAGAATATCTCCAAGGATGGGGACTCTGCAGCCTCCCCAGGGTAACCTTTGGCAGTGCTCAGTCACCCTCACAGCAAAAAAAAGTTTCTTTTTACATTCAGGAGGAACCTTCTGTTTTTCAGCCTATGCCCATTGCCTCTGGTCCTCTTACTGGGCACCACTGGAAAGAGCCTGGCTCTGACCTTTTTGCACCCTCCTTTCAGAGATTCTTATACATTGAGATTCCTGCCTGAACCTTCTCTGCTCCAGGCTGAAGCGTCTGAGGTCTCCCAGTGTGTCCTCCTATGGGAGATGCTTCAGTCACTTAATCATCTTTGTGACCCTTCATTGGACTCTCTGCAGTAGCTCCATGTCTGTCTTGTACTTGGAACAAGCACTCTAGGTGTGACTTCACCAGTGCTGAATAGATAGAAGGATCACAACGCTCAGTCTGCTGGCAACATTTCTCCCAGTGCAGCCCAGCATACCATTTGCCTCTTTGCAAGGGCACATTGTTGGCTTGTGGTCAACTTGGTTTCCACCAGGACTCGTAAGTCCTTTACACTGGCACAAAGGGTTGTTCCTCCCTAGGTGCAGGACTTTGCATTTCCCCATGTTGAACTTCATGAGGTTCCCATCTTGCCATTTCTCCAATCTGTCAAGGTCTATATGGATTGCACACAACCTTCAGTTGCTCCTTGCAGCTTCATATCCTCTGCAAACTTGCTGAGACTATACTCAGCCCTATCATCTGGATCATTAATGAAGATGTTGAACAAGATTGGACCCAGTATTGACCCCTGGGGTGCACCACTAGTTACTGGCTTCCAAGTAGACTTCATGCCATCACCCTCTGGGCCCAACCATTCAGCTAGTTTTCAGTCCACCTCACTGTCCTCTCATCCAGCCCATACTTCATGAGGATCTTAATGGAACACAACGTCAAAAACTTTACTGAAGTTTAGATAGACCATGTCCACTGCTCTACCCTCAGCTACCAGGCCAGTCATTTCATCACAGAAGTTTATCAAATTGGTCAAGCATGACTGCTTCTTGATGAGTCTATGCTGATTACTCCTTTGTCCTTTATGTGCCTTGAGATAGTTTCCAGGATTAGCTGCTCTATCACCTTCGCAGGGATCAAGCTGAGCCTTACCAGCCTGCTGTTCCCTAGTGTTCCTTCTTGAAGTTAGAAGTGACATTTGCTTTCCACCAGTCTACAGGCACTTCTCCCAGTTGCTGTGATCAATCAAAGAGCAGGTGCTACTGATTTCCTGCTGTGTTTCCCATATTGGGAAAGGGGCACATTTGTGAATAGACAGTAATAGTTTTTCTAACAGGACAATTCAAAAGAATGGGGGATTTTTTTTACTCATTAGATAAGTGCAGAAACAAGATTTCCATTACTAAGATATAGCCTGCCTGTTGTTCTCTTAGTGTTGCTTTCTTGGTTCCTCTGAGAGGAAATGAGTTTGACATTTAGGTTTATCATGGATTTTTTTTACAGGATGCTATAAATATTTGCTTGCATTGACAGGACGTTTCCAATCAGAGGCTTTCAAATTTATGATGGACCTATTCACCTTACCAAGTGTACATTCAAAAACTTTGTGCCAACTCCAGACAGATTTACCAGTGCAGTTGGATTCTTGATGAAAAATCCATGGCAGATGACACCAAAAAACAACATTTCTCTTGTGAAGTTTGGTCCAAATGTAAGTTTATTACAAGTTTTCTTGTATTCTTGCAAATGGCTTTCTTTGCTTCTTGATGTATTTAAAATAAACATCTAAGGGCCCTAGGTCATCTTTTCCATACATCCTTACTCCAGAGTCTCTCTCATGGTTGGAAGTCACCCAAGGTGTATCCTTTGTCTGCCAAGGAGAAAATAATGCCAAGGAAGATGTAGGATGTTTTAATAGTGATCTCTTTCATGCCTAATGGTAAAGCTGAAAGGAGATTTCTGTAAGGTTTGGTATATCCTTAGTAGTGAATTTTCAGTTGCAAACATTAACACTATTTGGAATCAAGAGCTGGCCTGAGCCAGCCATTACTAAAAATGTCTGTTTTGCAAGATTCCACTATCCTTGCCATAAGGCTTTTAATCAACTTTGTCAAATTCCTGTAAGCAAGTGTTAGTGGGTGCTTTGCTTGGGGTAAAAAATAATATTTTAATTGTTGTTGCCAGGTTTCTTTGAAAGCCTTCTTTGGAAAACCTGGTCCCTGGTTTGAAGAAGGAGATCTGGATGGTGACAAGAACTCAATATTCCATGATCTAGATGGTTCAGTGACTGACTACAGAGATACCTATGTGGGCAGAATGGATAACTACTTGATTCAACATCCCAAATGCATTAATATTACAGAATGGAATGGAGTGGTTTGCAGTGGGACCTATGCACAGGCTAGTACTCTTGTAGTTTTCTGTTTGGGGCAAATCTACAATATGAACAACTTGTGGGGGCAAGGGAAGTGTAAGAACTACAAAACTACATAATTTTTTATTTAAAAATTGACGCTTTAAACATACTTTTATGCATATTATGCTTTTCAGCTATTTGTGTATGTCATGTTCCCTTCAGCAAGCAAACTGTGAGTTGCTGCAAGGTAAAACAAAATGTGTATGCATGCCAGGAGTTCTGTGTTGCAGCCCTATCTGCTAAAACATTTTTGTATTGGAGGTGTTTTCTTCCACTGGAGTTCTGTCTTTTTTTTTTTTTTTTTTCACAGAGGGGGTTTTAAGGGGATTTTATTCTTTCTTTTTTTTTTTTTTTTTTTTTTTAAAATGGAGATACTAAATACCACCTTCTGAATACAAATCTCACATAGGTGTCATTTTCATTCTGGTTCCTATTCTCTATGAGTTTGGCCAGGTACCATAGCTGATTCTATATATATTTTTTTTTCCCCTCTCTCCCCTTTTTTGGTCTGTAAAATGAGCAAAATCTACAACAGTTTTTTCAAATAGGGCTCTCCTTCATGAGATATTTGTGTATTGCATAATTCGGAATGTCAGATTGCAGCGTTTTGGCTAATAAGGTAATTCTTCACTATTTCATTTCCTTTTGCACAGTGTCCAAATCCTTCCTCTTTTCATCCTTTTTAATATCATGTAGGTTTATGTCCAAACCTGGAATGGACAGAATCTTTCCATGACTATCATACGAGATGAGTACCCTGCCAATCCCATGCTTCTTCGAGGTATTAATCAGAGAGCTGTCTTTCAGCAATACCAGCCAGTAGTGATGCTCCAAAAGGGCTACACAATACATTGGAATGGAAAAGCTCCAAATGTCACCTATCTTTATCTCATTAACTTCAACAAGTATGTTTACTTTCTTTCATGTCACTCATCCATAAGGCACTACTGAAGTAATGCCCTGCAGAATTAGCATGCTTGAGAGTTTGCAGCCATCAGTAAGACTGGATCTTGGGTTGGGTTTTTTGGGGGTGGGGGAATTACAAATACTAAAGTATGAGAAGCAAAAGATTAAGCAATAGACCTGGATCTAAAGTTAAGCTTTTGTCCAGTACAGTGTCTTCAAGGAAAATCCTTTGGAGAATAAAATGTGCAAATAGTAAAGTTGAACAGAATTGCAGTTGAATAGTTTAGCATATTTGATTTTATTGTCAGATACACTTATTAAAGGTCTAAAGTATAAAATCACATATATCCTTAGAGTATCAAAGTTACTATAACATAATGAAACAGTTTTTGTAGAGAGAGGAAGAAGGATCTTCTGGTTGAGGGTGTGGGAGCTTTTTGTGTTCCTGTTACTTTTTTTCCCAAGTGATCTGTTTGCTGGGCATTGTTATCTAAACAGTTCCTATGGTGAATCATACATTTTATTTTCTTTTCAGGAATGACTGGATTCGTGTTGGTCTTTGTTATCAACCAAATACAGATTTTAATATAGTATTGGAAACCTTTCAAAGGCGATCATCTGCTCTGTCAAGCAAGGTAGAGCGCTACATGCCTGTATCTTCAATGATGGAGCTTGAAAAGAATCGATCAGACAAGAAGTTTTACTTTGACAACAGTACTGGGTAACTCCTTGTAACTTGACCCTATTGGAAGATGTTGTTTAACCTTAAAATGTCCATTCTTATAGTGTTAAAAGCAACTGATTGAGACACCTGCATAAGAGGAAAGCTGCTGCGAAAGAGCTCAAAGCCTATTTGAAAGAATACCTTATGTGACTTTGAATCTCCGAAATACAATGGTTGTCATGGAAATACTTTTCCAAGACCACCACAGTTGCCACAGATATTTCCTACCCTGTGCCTGGGGAAAATGTGGTGTCTTGTGTGCTGCAGAACAGTGTCTTTTAGGAAGTACCTTCTAAGTCTTCAAAGAAAATTTGTGCCTTCTTGTTAAAAAATTCTAGAAATTTCCAAGAAGTTTTCTGTTCCAAGACATTTTAAGAATGTATTTCTGAAAATCCTAATCTGTTTTCATCCTTCTCGAAAGTACTTAAAACTCCTAGTCTCTCTCAAAATTACTTCAGACAGAGATCCTTCTGAGAGGTTTAAGATATGGTCAACTTTGAGTAAAATAAGTCCTTCATACATCACTTGGGTGTTTTGCAAATGTTGATGTTTATTTTATAATTTTATCTCTTATTTATTTTGTTCCCTTATCTGCTTCTTTGTCTGTCTGTAGTGAATGTAGCTTTTGAAAAGACATTTATGTTTCTTTTGTCTAAGAGCTACAGTGATAACAGTCAAATATATAATAGAAGAATTACCAGTCTCTGTGTACTGTGAACATTAATGACCACTACCCCCTAAATTGCATTTCCAGGCATTTGCAACAGTACAATTACATTGTCTGGTGCTGGTGGGTGAAGTTGTATATCTAAACAGTTACTTCTGGGTATCTGCAAAGATCTATGATCAAAGAAAATATTTGTGCTCTCCAGTTTGTTTTTTGTTTCCTGCAAGCCACTGATTTGAGGAGTGGCTGTTCTTTTCAAAGCATATGCATTCATACTGATGTCTCCTTTAATTGTTTGTAATTTCAGATATGTCAGTAGAGACTTCCTAACTCTAGTAAACTGTAGATATTTTGAGGACATTTGAACAATGGTGCAGAAGTGAATGCAGTAGTTCCTCTGCTTCTGAAAATCATGAAATATAGCTGTTAAGGTTTAACATAAATATGTATCTTCCCAGCAACTGATCTAGATTCTCTTCCCCCTTTTGTGCAGATTACTGTTTTTATTTCTCCAAGCCAAATATAATAGGGATGGTCACAGTTATTGCTCATCTCAGGGATGTGAAAGGATCAAGATTGTGACCAAAGATTCAACAAAAGGGATCAGTAACTGCATGGCAAAAGCTTACCCAAAGTACTACCAAGCACCAACCATCATAAAGCGAATGCCAGTAAAAACTACTGTACCATGTACAAAATGCGGCACAACTCAGGTAAAACAAAACAAGCAAAAACTTTCATGAACTGTTTAGTTGGTGTTGCTGTCTACTCACTTTAAGGCAGAATTTCAGTCTTTCAGCACAGAATACTGCACCTACCAGTTTGCAATGGTCACACCATCAATCTCCTGTACGCTAGAAGGTGGGGAGTCCCTTGTAACACAAAGGTTTCACTTTTTGTTCTTTGAAAAGTACTGCTTCCCCTTACTCTTGAGTGCTATAGAGAAGGGACATAGGTAGATCTGATGTCTTGTACTACAGTATTGTCTGTACTCTAAGTAGTAGGATAGCTTTGCTGCAGAGATCTGTATGGTATTGGCCAACCTTCTCTCTTCTTTTTTGGATCTTTGCTTATTAGCATGACCTTGAAATTGCATTATCCGTTTTAGCTATACAAGCTGAGAAGAATACTGAAAGTAAGGAATAAAATGTGTTACAGTATACATAATGATATTTATGAGCATTGCTAGTACATAAATAATGTCACTGACAAATGGATGCATTTGCTTTGGAGCATGGGCAGTCTGTTGTAAATTGTCTGGCATGATAAAGTGTTGAAGACGCGTGCATATGTGTGCTTAACATGTTTCATTTGATATCCAGATGGTATTCACCAGTGATCCTCACAAAAACTACCTCCTTGTGCAGATTAATTCATCTGGTAAAAAAGAACTAAGCAGAGGTCAGGAAGCATTTATTTCTGTAAGTATTCTTTATGGTTTTCTTTTAGCTGTCTTTCTTTTTAGCAGTTTGTACTACAGCAGTTGTACAGCTCTACATAATGCTGACCTTAATTTTCTTCACTTGATTGAAAATTGTTGGTTCATAGTTTAAAAACAAAACAGTCAGAAAGCTGATGTTTTAACCTCAGAAGATGAGGCTCCAAACCTCCATTTTGTATTAAAATCCTTTCCTGCTGGAGAGAAAATTGTACCAGTAAGGGAGCGATTAAAACGTCAAATTCATGTTGAAACCTGGATGGATATGCATTTATTGATGGCTGCTTTGGGAGACAAAACACAACGAACCCAGTTTTGCACTAATTGTTTTTGTGGTAACAGATTGGTGAGGTAATGGGATGACTCATTCAAGCTATTAAGCTTTGCTAAACTCCTTCAAAATGGCAGTTACTAAAGAATCCATAGAGGGTTCTGTATTTTGTTCTGATGCAATCCTGATAAGCCTAGTGATGTAATACTGTATAAAAAGTGGTTTACTTTGACTTTTCTAATCAGATGCTGAAGGAAACTTGCATGTGATGCTGAAATCGCGTTTGCAGACATCTTCACACAACAAAGCTTAAAGTCTGTACGTGGTTTACCTTCCGCAATGTCAGTGTGCTAGCTTGGTTGAAATAATAAAACTCTTGAGTTTAGACAGACAATGGCATGTGAGCAGCATAACCTTAGCAGCTGCAAACTTTTATGGGAATATGTGTGCTGTAAGAGCACTCTGTAGGAAGAAACTGTGCTGGAACTGGGCTGCTGCAGAGGCAGATTAACTGTACTATTGCCAAGAAGTCCAGGTAGTTCCGTACCTGAATTTAGGCATCCCGAAGCAGTAGCAATGCCCAAGGCAGGTAGTAAGTCACCTGAAATGTATGATCTCCCTGTAGGAGCCAGGGACTTAAGGCTCCCATGCAATTTCAGGAGTCCCACTGAAAGCCTCCCCTCAAGGGGGAAAGTGGAGAGATGCAAGGGAGAAGCAAGTATTTGTAAGGAAATAGACACCACTGTGTCTAAACTAGGTGAAGATTAAAACTGCAGTGCAATCGCTGTGGAAATCATATTAACTTAAGAACTTTTTTTTTCTTTCTTACTTTTTTCTCTTCCCATTCAGGTCAATGACGCTATGTTTCCCTTTAAGGATAATGGTATATGTATTGTTGTAGTTGATGCCTGCATTGGCACAGTGTCGGGAAACAAATTATTTTCTGGAGTAGACATTAAGCATGTAGATGGATATTTAAAATCTGAGATTCCACAAAGGTACGTGTAATGAACATTGATTTCCCATATGTCCTGTAAGCTGTAGCTCTGCTCTATAAGGAGCATTTAAATAACTATGTCTATACAGGAGCACTGAAAGTGATCAAAACATGTATCTAAGTTGAGGGACAAGGAGAAGCATAGGAGCATTTTAACAGACAATTTGGCCTTCTTTAAGAAAACAAAGCAACTCAAATTTTAAGCACTTAAATTTTTCCAGTATTGCCTGTCACCTCAAAAAGATTTATTTTTTTTGACTAAACATCATGTAGTAGCATTTCTTTGCTTAAAACAAGAATAACTTTTTGTTTAATAAGGTCACTTAAGGAGACTGACAAGAACTATGTGACAAGATATCATACTGTTCTCTCCTTCTCTAGGGCGAAAATTGTTTATCATTAAAGGAAGATAAAAAGTAACAAAAAAATCAGCATTCTAATATTCTAATTTTGGATCAATATCTAAACTTGATTTTTTTGATACAAAGTATTAAACTATATTTAAATAACACTTTCCAATGATTTTTGAAGTTAAATTTAAAAGTCAGTTTAAAAAAAAAAATTATAGGTGGATGCTTTTCTAGGTACTGCTTTCAGAGGGAGTTGGCTATTTCCATGTCATGAAATGATGCAGCATGAGTACTCTCAAGCAAGTGGGCGATGAGGCCAGCTAGCTGTAAAAGCATGTAGAAGAATATTAAGAAAACTTTGTGTTCATATCAGCTGTTGTCTCTGCACCCTTTCTGCAGGTCTATTGTTCTACTGAGTACAAGAGGTGATGTAGCAATTCCTAATAATTTATCAGAAGCCTTAATGTCCCTGGGGACAGCCAAACCGCCTTATCTTCAGAGCAATGGTTGGTGGAAATTTTGCACGTTTCTTTCACACCGCCTTGGTCTGTGTGTTTGTGTTGGCATGGTGGGATTCTCACGGGGCATGTGAAAGGATGCAGCTGGCGGAGGATGGATGCCAGTTTGCACTGGTGTGGGCTGCCTCATTGAGCTGGGGGATGGCAGCCGTTCAGCAGATGAGGCAGAAACCCCTTCCTGTTGCCCCAAAGGGCACTGTGTGAAACTTGTTGCAGGCAGAGAAGTGCCTAGCGGTTCTTTGTGGCTGTGGATTACAGAAAAAAGAGCCCCAGGCTTTTTTCCCAAAGCGTGTACTTTGTGCCTCACCCAGTGAATCTATTTTTAAACAATCTCCTGTGCCAGGCTAGTATTTCCCGTTCTAACAAATTTAAAGGTAAAGATAGTATTTTAATGGATGATCACATTATAGGCCACATGGGGTAGCTCTTGTTCACTCAGGGCCCTGGCACAAGTTCTGTCTCTGAAATCAGGTTTTATAACTGTCCTGATTGCTGTGTTTTCAAATTAAGATTTCAGAGTATTTAATACTGAATATTGAAAAAGGAAATTGCAAATCAGTATTCCCTCGTGAGGGGCATGTGGAGTGTGGATTAATGTCCTGAATAATCTGGGGGGGAGAATTTCAGAGGATTGTGCCTGCCTAACTGGTCCTGTGTTGTGCTTGGACGGGCTTGGCTGGTTCAGTAACATCGAGCTGTTTTTGTCACAGGAAGCCTGGCCTTTCTGGGCTTCAGAGGAAACTTTAAGCCATCCTGGATTACACTGTTTACCGGTCCTGCTGGGCATGGGCTCGTTCAGATAGAAAAGTATATCCCTTTACAACTGGAAGAGTATGGCTGTGCCAGAGCAATCAAAAGCCGACGGAAAGACCTCGAGCTTCTGAAGAAGGCTACACAATCTCATTAAAGACTAAGATGTACATAAAAGCTGGGGAAAAAAATGTGAACTAACTTATTTTTTAATTTATGGCATTTTAAACTATATTGTTATCCAAGTAAATCACGTTATTGTCTCAGATGTTTGCCAGCATTGACCGCTTGAATGCCAATCTGTGCACCTTCTAGTTGTACAAAATATTAAAGAATTTATTGGTATTTGTATAAACAGGTTTCAGAGATTTTTCAGATGTAAACAAGTTCCTTCTGTTTAATACTCCTTTTGTATGTAAGAGGGTGTTCATAAAAGCCTTAAATTTTTGATAACAGGTGTTGGAGTGCATCTTGGATTACTTGAAAGATTAACATAAAGTCTCCATAAACAGCTTGAATTGTTCATTATAACTTATGCATTTTCCCTCAGCTGTTTAGGTGTTTTCCTGAGGGTATATTTAGCAGTCTGTTCAGCTATGTTCTCAGTCTGCTTTCCAAGGTGTTAAAAAACAATTTCCCATATGCATGCAGCTGACTCAAGGGGTTTTAACTGCAATAAATTTTTTGGTTTGCTGCATGAAAGATGGAGAGTGGGGATTCAGAGATCCAGCCTGGGGCTGGGTGAGGATTGTGTACTGTGCAACAGAGTTTAACAAGGCTATGTGTACCAGCATGGCATACAGAGCAGAAAATTACTACCATTCTTTGGGGTCAGTGTTTACTATTCACCCCTAAATATACAGGTGTCTCTAAGAGTTACTTCAGTAAACAGTCTGGGTGTTAAGGCTTCAGGCTTGGGTACAGTGAAGCTGAGATCTTGTTAATCTCAACTTTTATGAAACTAAGCTTCTACTTTTGCGGTGGTGGGGTTTTTCTTTTTTTTTCTTTTTTTTTTTTTTTTAAGGCTATCCCAGCTCCCAGCTCTAACTTTTAAGTGAATGGCAAGTGCACTCAGTTCATTCAGGCATGTTATATCTTTTGCCTTAACTTCGATTCTTTTAATATACTCATGTTGCTAATTCCTATTGACTTTATATTAGGTCTGTTTGATTTCTTTTGGTTTTGTTGCAATTATTTCACCATTTCTTTAGATAGTGTGAAAATCATTTAGAAGAACTGAGGCACAGCTGCCCTTTTTCAGGATCCTAGTCCTTGAAATAAAATTTCAGAGACTGTAAAGATGCATTTCATAATAGGGAACAATAGGTGCCATAGAGCTAAAATGTAACCTTAGTTCTAATAAAACTGACATAGTTCCTTCTTGTATATGTTCTCATTCATTCTAGCTGGTATAGTGAATATACCATTCAGAAATGATTTGTGCTTTGAATTCAAAATAGAGTGGCTGTTGGAAATTAACTATATGCCTGTCTTCTCCAAAGAAGTTGAAAAACTGTGGGGATTTTTTTTTTTTTAGTGCTTTAAAGGAGAGGAGGCACAGTAGCAGACCTATTATTGTGTTCAATTAAAATATGCTACCTCAGTGCTACAATTATATTGCCTGGTCTAGTGTAGTTTCCTAAGTGAGAGGGGAGGGGAAAGGAACACAACACAGATGAAGTTAACAAATAGGTGACTGATGTTATTTTTATTGTAAAACCAAGCCAAATGGATGACTGTGTATTTTGCAGTTGTTTTGATGCACAGTTCTCTTTTAATGTTAAAAAAAAAAAGGTGTTTTGTTAGGTGGAGATGTGGTAAATCTTTAGGTATAATGTTTGGTGTTACTAATGCAGGGCAATGTGATTTAAGTCCTCTGAGTGCAGTAGTCATAGTGTTTGGGGATTAAAATGGTTTTAAGACTTCCACTGTTCTGTGGGTCATGCTCAGCAGAGAAATACTGATGAGGTAGTGACCTTCAGGCTTGTGAAGTTGGCCATTATTTATGAGATTCTACTGTTCTAAGCCATCTTGTAAAAATTGTACTTGGAAGTGTCAAGGGTATTCTGATGTAGGGTTTACTGATGGACAATTTGACCCGAAGTGTTTTCTTTTGTGTAAATTTAAACACTTGATAAATAGCATAAATAAATTTTTACATCTGACAAGGCAATAAAATCTTGGGTCTCTTCTGTTCTTGTATTAAGTAATTTTTTAATGTGTGTTGTGTAAATACTATAAACTATTTTATTTCAGACAGCACTAGACCTGTGAAGTTTATGGAGCATATCTTACATCTCATTCAGAGACAAGTTGTGAATACTGGGAAAGGAGACACTAATGGTTACTGAAGTTATGGGCCTGTCTCTAAAGTCTGCCATCTTACAGTATGCCTGAGCTGCTGAGTGTAGTCATTTCAGCTTCGCAGAGGCCAGTGCAGTATTGTTACCTACTCAAGGGGCATCTTATAGAATCACAGAATGGTTTGGGTTGG